GTAAAAGTAATAGTAATAGTAATAATAATAATAGTAATAGTAATAGTAATTCTAATAGTAATAATAATAGTAATAGTAATTGTAAGTAATAATAATAGAAGTACTGTTGCTACTGCTCCTATTACTCGTTGTGGTAGTAGTAGTAGTAGTAGTAGTTGTTGTAGCACAAATGGTGCGCGTAGTGCTAAAAGTACTGGTAGTACTGATAATACTAGTAGCAGTAGTAGTGGTAGTCGCGGTGGTGGTGGTGTAGTATTCCCGAAACTGGCCGGCAATACGATGTCTACATATGCATACACGTGTATATATCTATACATGTAACTATCCATCTATCTATCTCTCTATCTATCTAACTAACTATCCGACTATCTGACTATCTGACTATCTATTTATCTATTTATCCATCTATCTATCTGTCTATCATCTACCAATCTATCCATGTGGCAATGAAGGACTTGCATAAGTTACCTAAACAACCTTCCACATAATCGTTATTGATGGAAGTGCTATTGTAGCGTTCTCACGAAGCAGTGTCTGATCCGGATGGCAGCGCCTTGCACGCTCCCTTGCTATTTATGACGCAAAGATCGTGATCGCAAGGGGGGTGTCTTGAAAATGGTCTGGTTTGGCTGGGTTTGGCTTAACTCGGATGGCTTGGGCTTGGCTTGGCTTGAGCAAAGCGCACCCTCTTCGTATATAGCTTGTGCGGCAGCGATGGTACCAGTTTCAAAGATGGTTTGGCTTGTGGCTTGGCTTGGGCTTGGCTTGAGCGGGGGTGGGCAGCAATGAAGGACCTGCGTAAATATGCTGCCGAAACAATCTCCAGCATGCATCATTTTCGGGTCTCATGATTCCTAGCTGTTTTGATCACACTGCGGCTTGGCTTGGCTTGGGCGGCGGTAGGGGGTTGGGGGGGAGGGGGTGGCTTGCCCCCTTCCCCCCAAGCACACCTGCTAATGAAGGACTTGCATAAGCTATCCAGAGTGTCTTCCAACAAGCATCGGCAGGCGGGCTGACGCCGGCGGCAGCAGCAAGGATCGAATTCGGAACGGAGTGTAGTTCGTTGTTACGTGGAAGGTACATTTACAGTAATCACATCGCTTGCCTAGAATCCGCCTTGGGCATTTACTATACGGATAAAAATACGACCATGGATAAGCTGTTTATAAATATGCATATATATATATGCACATGTACGTATAGACATAAAACTATACCCATATATTGAATGTACACGATATGGTTGTACTAACTATGATACTGATCTGCATACATGTATATGTCAAAAAAATATTTGTGTGTAAGTATGTAAGTATGCAAGCATGTATCTATGTATGTATGTATGTATGTATGTATGTATGTATGTATGTACGTATGTATGCGTGAATGCTTGTCTACATACATATATATATATATATACACATAGATTTGTATGCGTACATGTATACATCTGGACAATTTGTGTGTATGTCTATATATATATACGTATACATAAACTTTGTATATACATATTACATATATATGTATGCAGAACTGTACACATATATCCGTACATATATCCGTTGTCTACAAAGACATACAGTATGCGTCTACGTATTTGCACATGACATATGTACACTATATGTATGTACGTATGTATGTATGCATATATGTATACCTTCATTCTTTTCCTCCTAGCTTTCTTCCTTCCTTCCTTCCTTCCTTCCTTCCTTCCTTCCTTCCTTCCTTCCTGCCTGTCGTGTTCTCTTCTGCTTGCCTTCCTTCTTCCTGTCTTCCTTCCTTCCTTCCTTCCTTCCTTCCTTCCTTCCTTCCTTCCTGCCTGTCGTGTTCCCTTCTGCTTGCCTTCCTTCTTCCTGTCTTCCTTCCTTCCTTCCTTCCTTCCTTCCTTCCTTCCTTCCTTCCTTCCTTGTCTCCTTCCTTCCGTCCCTTCCTTCCTTGCTTCCTTTCTTCCTTTCTTCCTTTCTTCCTTTCTTGCTTTCTCCTTGTTCCTTTCCTTCCTTTCCTCCTTCCCTCCTTCTTCCCTGCTCTCCGTCCTTCAATGCCTTCCTTCCTTCCTTGCTTCCTATATTCCTGCTAGTTTAATTTGTTGATCCTAATTAATTTGATTTTTATTTGATCCTGACTCAATTTTGTTGACCCTATTTTGATTTGTTATTGATCCCTCTCCCGTCACATATTGTCCTCTATTAGTATGTCTTAGTCGGACTAATCAACCTCTGTTTCTGAATTTCCTAGATTTGACCCAATGCATAACGCAACTGAAACTTAATGGCTGAATACTCTCGATTCGAAACTCGGAACAAACATGCGGCATACCGCCTCTCCAATGTTTCCGTAGTCAGCACTAAACTTTTTTTATCAACATCTAACGTCAGTCAAACTGCACTGCCGATGCTTCCCATGTTCCGAACAATCCTAAAATTAAACGACCCCAGTCCTGCAAGCACCAAACCGTCGACGACCGACCCTGGATGGAATTTATATGGCGAAGCCTCCTTGTAAGCGGTTCCGCCACAAGGGTTCTCTCGGCTCATGTCGCCCCAAATCTCCTGAAGCACATGCTTCAAAAGCAGCCACCAGGGCATCACAAACACACGGCGAAATATACCATCAACGCTGCTAAGGCGACCACGGCTGTGACTGCTACTGCTACTCCTGTTGCTTCTACGACGATTCTACGACTCCTTATGGTACGATGCATCAGCAACAACAAGAACAAGAACCGGAGCACGAACAAAAAGGACAACAAAAACAACAACAAGAACAAGAACAATAACATCATCGACAACAACAGCAGCAACAACAACAAAACACACCGACATAGCGGCAGCAGCAGCAACTCCTACTACTACTGCTGCTACTACTACTACCACTACCACTTCCACTACCACTACCACTACCACTACCACTACCACTACTACTACTACTACTACAACAACAACAGCTACTACTACTACTACTACTACTACTACTACTACTACTACTACTACTACTATATGCAGCTACAGCTACTCCTACTCCTACTCCTTCTACTACTGCTGCTACTACTACTACTACTACTACTACTACTTCTACTTCTACTTCTACTGCTACTGCTGCTGCTACTACTACTACTACTACTGCTACTACTACTACTACTACTACTACTACTATGATGATGGTTATTCTTGCTACTACTACTGCTACTGCTACTGCTGCTACTATTACTACTGCTGCTACTACTTCTCCTCCTACTACTCTACGACGACTCCGACTACGACTACGACGACGACCGCTACTACCACCACCACCGCTATACCACTACCGCGGCCGCTGCCGCTACCTCTACCGCTTCTACTGCTGCTGCTGCTGCTGCTGCTACTGCTGCTTCTGCTGC